TTATATAGTGCGTGTTTGAATTTAGATAATAAAAAAATATATCAAATGTTTCTTGAGCTTCTACAAAATAAACCAATATTTAAAAAAAATTGAGTTTAAGCGGCCGGAGAAGTGGAACTACGCAGAAAAAAACACTGCAAAGAGAAGGAAAACTTGAAACAAACCCTATATCAACCAGTTATAGTAGACCAAAACCTCGTTTCAGGAGAGGCCTGTGTCCAGCAGTGGACTGTTATAGGCTGTTGATGATAATGATAATTATGTGGAGAAGTGGCAACCGAGTAGGTTAACACACTGCAAAGTTGAGCAATCCTAGCCAGGTCATTCTACGGATGGGTGACCATTCTTAACATATTGAAACCCCTCCGTGCCTCGGAGAGCACGTTCAGCCATCGATCCCGGTTGCTAAACGAATATCTGTGGCAATCGTTACGGATAGTTGGAGCTATGGAAATTCCACAGTATTTTTACAGAACTTCGATATCGCTTAGTACTTGGGTTGTAGAGGTCTGATGCCAGCCGCTCCGAAGTCCGAAGTTTAACCATATCATATTAGACTAGCTGACCTGCGCAACATCGTCTGCGTCTCTCAATAGTAATAAATTTTCTCCGTTTTCGAAACATTCTTCATTGGTGCTCCGCTCCTATTGGTCTTAGCGTGATGATATATAGCCTATAGCCTTCCTCGATAAATGGGCTATCTAACACTGAAAGAATTTTTCAAATCGGACCAGTAGTCCCTGAGATTAGCGCGTTCAAACAAACAAACAAACAAACAAACTCTTCAGCTTTATAATATTAGTATAGATTTAAAGCCGACCAATTAAGTTTGGTAAAAAGACTCGGAGGAAGATTTAAAATAGATTTCGAGTTACTGGTATACAACCCTGACCTATTTGAGCCATTGGTTACACTCTCCCATCCATCTGCATAACCAATATCCCTTTCCTAAATTCCCTTCCCATCTTACCATCCTTTCCTTTTATATTGAACTCTTGATTTTCCTATCTAATTTATCGCACCGCACCCTTTAAGCTCAAATTTTGACACGATATACAAACCGCTTCAAGTATTGTTTTTGTCTATTTTACGAGTCACTTTTTTTCGTAATTTCTGATCGATGTAATTTCAATGTTGTACAGCAAGTTTATATAATTTTTTTTTAATTATCAATATAAGTAATGTGGTTTTATGTTGAAAAGGACTAATCTTCGAGTTTTACAGATTTCGTGTGTCATAGTTCGATTTAATATACTCAACATTTTCGATACCGATGATCAGCATCTTTGTACCATTAAAGTTACAGTGTTTTTAACTTTATTTTGATTGTAGTAAGGTTGTTTATAAGTTTTCAAACAAATTGTTTTATGTTCGGCCAGTCAGTAGTTCTACAATATGATATATTATTCAAACAATACTTTAATTATAAAGCACCTTAAACAAAGCCTTATTATTTGAAAAGGTCGCCTTTGTTGTTCAGTCCTTGGCACGGTACAATGTCAACAAAGACTCAGAAACCTTGCTCATAGCGAAAAATAGTTTTGGAATTTCTTCAATAAATATAGAGTGAATTTTGCAAATTTCGTAGAACTAGAAATTGCTTGGCAAGTGAAGTTCGTCCATTTTGATTATCTTGTTGGTATTTAGTATCATTGATCTGTATAACTTGAATTGTCATTGTGTAGTATATAGATATTTGTATGAAAAGTCAAAACTTTTTTTGCTTTAAACCCTTCTTCTGCATAATATAAACTATAAATATAACTTCTTTAAAAACTGTTTATAGCAGGTAACAAACGACTTATTTTTGGACGAATAATAAGTATTATATATTACTGATTAGTCGCCCTCTCATATAAAATTGGATCTGGATATTTAAACTGAGATATTTTGTGCCTAAATCAGGAATGACATTGATGAATTCCTGGGGATACCTGAATTACTTGATGACATTTGACAACCAAACATAGAAACAAAATATCAATACAAACGAATTAAATTGCGAGCTTCATTGTTTTTGGTCGTTTGAAATTTTATATTCACGAAAGCGAAGTAGCACACAAAATCTAAAATTACTGTTACTCGTAAACAAATTATTTGTAACTTTAATCTCTGGTCGGCCTTTCTACGGCACTAAATCAGAACAATTAACAGTAGTACATAATTATCGTATAATCATGTTTGCTACAGACTAAAAGGTCATAAGTATTGAGGTTGAGTTGTGAGAAATGACCTGCAGGTAAAGCGTAGATAAGACGCTATAACAATCGGAATGTTTCGACTATTTCGGTGAATTGGACCGTGAAACTGATATTTTGATAGATAATTGTATTGGTTATGAAGTGAAAAATCGATAGCAGGGTACGGAAGTTAAAGTTTATGGTTTAAAATTCCGCTTCATAAACATTCTAATTACATATTTTATATACTTAAATAGACTTATGTAAAGTGATATTGCAACGTACGAGTACATTGTAATGTACATAATAGGTCTTTACCTATGAAATTGCCGTTTTGTATGCAATAAGTGAAAGTACTTATTTTTTCAAACTTTTTTATTTCTGTTATTCGAAGTAATCACCCATGCAATCGACGCATCTTTGCCAACGCATTGGCAGTTTATTGATGCCCTTCTTGTAAAAATCAGCTGGACGGGAGGCAACAAACTCTTAAAAGGCATTTTGTACTGCCTCTCGGGAATTGGATTTTTTACCCACTAAAAAGTTGTCTAAATTTTGGAAAAAGAAATAGTCGGTAGGTGCAAGGTCTGGTGGTCACATCTGCAACCAGCTTGCATTGCATACAAAACGGCAATTTCATAGGTAAAGACCAATCTTAATATTACAAATACGAAGGTGTGTCTGTCTGTATGTTACCTCTTCACACTTAAACTGCTAAATCGATTTAGGTGAAATTTGGTAGAAAATTTTGGTAAAAAATTTGGTAGATAGTCCGACTTCTGGTAAAGGACATAGAATAGTTTTTATCATAGCAATCATCTTTGAAGAGGGTGAAAAGGAGTGTGGAAGTTTGTATGTGGAATCAATAACTGCTGAACTGATTTTTTTATGGTAGTTGGTCAAATGAGCAGACGAGGCACTTGTTGGTAAGTGAGTTCCATCGCCCATGGATACTAGCGACTCAAAAATCACTAGTTGCCAATGCCATTCTTTGTGTCCACCCCTAGAAATAATGGTAAGGTTACCGGAGCACAAAACCTCTCGAACATTCCTGCCTCAAATGAGTGCACGGATAGCGTAGTGGTTTAAGCGGTCGCCACCGCTTCCTACTACGCTGAGTGTTGTAGGTACGATCCCCACATGGGACGAAACTTTGTGTAATCCACAAATTGTTGTTCTGAGTTTGGGTGTTCTCTGTGCCCGTTTCATGTATGTTTGTAAAGTCCCTCGCAACACAGGATATATTCCTAATGTTGGCATTGTCTTTTTAAAAAATAAAAAAAGATAATAAAGGAATTTCAGGAAATAAAAATATAATCTTCATTGTTTTTCTGCCTTTTTCTACATTTAATTTGTGGTTGGCGCAATATGGAATTGAAATTGGAATTGGATTAGTTAACATATTTCAATTTAGAAAACAATCGGAACATGAACACAAAAACACCAAAAATCAAATTATTGAAAATCAAATCAATCAAAGGTTTCATAGAGTAAAAAGAGTGAGAGCAAACAACACACCTTTATAATGGAAATTGTACTACCAATGCCGTGTACGATTGGGCGATGTTTTGTTTTTTTATTTTTTACTAGCTGAGACACGCGGTGTAACCCGCGTTTGTTGTTATAACCGCGGGAATCGCCGCGGGGCGAAGCTAGTCTAAAAAAAGTAGCCTAAGTTACTCCTTATGTCATCAGCTATCTGCCTGTGAAAGTCCCGTCGAAATCGGTCCAGCCGTTACAGAGATTACCCGGAACCAACAGACAGACAGACAGACAAAAATTGTAAAAAATGTTATTTTGGCATATGTACCGTGTAAACATACATATGCATTTAGTAAAAAGCGGTTATTTTAATATTACAAACAGACACTCTAATTTTATTTATTTGTATAGATTATTCTGTTGTATAGTGAGCTGCATATTATTATCATAAAACTTAAGATGACTTTGAAAATATATTGCCCTGCAAGCCGAGCAAACTCTTGCTCCAGTTTATAAGCCCGATTGGGGCAGTATATAGTACTTTCTTTTACCCAATTGATATCAATAGCTCCACTTTTGTACAATAAAATTGAAGGATTTGTTTTATTTAAATAATTCTGACTGAGCAAATCATCGTTTTTAATAATAAAAAGAGTAACCGAGCAGTTGGGCTTGACTAACGGGCGTCATTAGACACATGGAACTTAACAAACATAATATAATATATAATAATATATATCTCACACATCTCACACACGGCCGTCTGATCCCAAACTAGGCAGGGCCTGTACTACATTATTGCTTTGGCACTCTGATTTCTTTCTGAAGAGAACACAAATCACGAGGCACCAATTTTTAATATTTTTTTAATCTTATTGATTTAATGCAAATGAGTCAATTTTGTAGGTAGGGTAACGATAAACCATGCCGCTAATTCTAGGTAGTTTGACTCGGATCGGCTTCCACTATCTCCATTAATTCAGCGATATTAATCTGTGTGGGTGGTCTTCACGAGGTTCGTTCTTCAAGTTGAAGAGCCGTTTCTGCCGCGTTAGTTCCGCGTCGGAACTCGTATTCAAAAATGACTCGGGTTTTCGAAGTGTCCATCTTTCACGTCCAATCTGAATAAATTGAACGTCGAAAATCAAATATTGAACATTTTTAAAAGAAGAACTTCATAGGTATTTTGTGAAAAAAGTTTTATATGAAAATATCGCCCCATGAAGGTTTTATTTCAATTCAAAGTATCTATTACTATGCAACGACGACTACATACTAAGTACATATATTTTATTCATAAAAACCGTGTTTCTTGATTTCTTTTCTTCTCCTTTTCAGCTCGTGGCAAACGCAAGAAGTTGGCTGTCATTCTTCCCCTTCTGACTCTTCTGGCGACAATCAAGACTAAACTACTTCTGGTGCCTGTACTCCTGTCTGTGCTACTCATCAAGAAGTTGCTGCTCATTGCTGCGTTACTGCTGCCGAGTGTGTTGAGCACTCTGAAAGCTTGCAAGGTATTTATTTCTTAATCATCGCTGGTAGACCCGGCGTGTGAACCTGTGTACCTATTTTCATATATCTAATAACTTCCTGCACTTTCTTCACATATCGACAGACGAAGAATTCTCTTCATTTAAATATATTATTACATTTTATACTTACGGCTGCTTTTTATCGTCAAATCGTTCGTTACCGAAAAAAAATTAAAATCATTATCATCAACAGCCGTAAATAGTCCACTGCTGGACGTATTTCTCTCCTCAGAAAGGAGGTTTTGGCTTACTAACGCTGGCCAGACTGGTTTTTAAGTTTACCTTCTATTTGTAGTGCTGTTGTCCTTCGTAGTTTGCTCCTTTAGTCGTCTCTTATGGCACCCACGGGATGAATAGGGGTAGTAATACTCTGTATTCTCAATCTGTTACCACACGGACCGACGGACGATGAACGTCCGAACTATACAATAGAATAGAATATTCTTTATAGTACACCAACTAGAATATATTAAATAAATATTACAGACAGATATATATACAGGTACACATATGTACCTGGTGTTATTCACACAATCAAAACGAATTTATCTAACACACGGCAATCAGGTCTTAAACTAGGCAGAGTTTGTATTGCGGTAACTTCTCATAAAGACGCCGCACTCAAATGGAACTTCCCGCATGCCGACGGATCTATGGAAACCAATCGGGTCCCTAAGGCGCTAAACGACATCATGGTAGGCCCAGGCGACGATGACGGGACGATCTCGACGGCTTCCGAAAAGACTGGTCCGAACTAGTACACGACTGAGAGATATGGAAGGGAGAGAGGGAGACCTTTGCTCTGCAAAGGCACAATACAGGCTAAAAATAAATAAACAAAATAAATACATAGTGTAGATATGTTACACCCAGACACAAAACTAATAATCACACAATCTTTTTCTGGGTGGGAATTGAACCCATGACCTCCGGCTTATAAGTCAGGCTCTCTAACCACTAGATTAACAGGCTCGTCTGGAATATACTCGTACATACATAAATTAAAAAAAATATAACCTTCCTTATAGCGGCTCTCTATTAAGTGATTAAATAGTGTTTTTGTAACAAACTAGTATTTCCTATTCATCAAGGTATATTTTTTCTTAATGAAGTCTCTTGTCGACGAAAAACAATAAAGCCTCCGTACCACTTACAAAACTTTTCAATATTTTCGTTCCTTAATTAAGTTCGTACCTAGTTATTCTGAATCTATAATATCATTTAATTAAAAGGTTCTCAACATTTTGCAATTAATTAAAATTACAAGGAAAACGTATAATCCTAACAGTTTTGGGCGCAATTTGCTTTTAATGAATCAATATCTTTGACACTTCAAAGAACTTTGGAAACAATTAAATGGAAATCGTTTCAGTTTAAGCACTGAATTAATCAACTATTGGCATAGAACTTAGGTGAGTTAATTAATTGTACTCATAGTTTCAATATCTACTCAAATTTGAAACACGATGTACCAATAATTGTTTTAATGATTTAGTTAAAACGTTTTTTTTCTTGAAATATATATTATGATCAATTTTGACGTATTTAATGACGTATTAACCTTATTTAGAATGCACTGCCAGTTTTTTTTTAATTAAGTTCGCTTCAATTATTACATTAAATTATTGGGAACACCCGTAATTCAATTACCTAATCATCTCAGCAATCCTTTTTTTTTTTACGTGTGGAAATCCCCTCGGACCGTCACCCCACCGGGGTTTGCGGCGGGGTGGTGTGTCGGACCCGGACCGACTAAAACCACACGGTGTGCCACTCTGCGCCTGTAATAGGAGAGATCCGGGAACAGCTGTTATTAATCTCAGCAATTCTATGTCAAGCTAGATATAATTCTCATATCAGGAAACTTAACCTCAAAACTAATAATATAGAACAATTTACATTTAAACATTTTACATAAAAATTTAAATTGGCTACCATTATAAAAGTTTTAATGCATTCATTCGAGTATCCTGCATTTTAAGTGAAACAAAATTTTAAAATTGGTCGTAAAATACTTTGAATGAAACTGTTTTGCATGAAATCTAATGGACGGAGTTGGGAAAGTAGTTTGTTTACCAAAACTACAGTAAATATGATTTCAAAGTATCGTATTATTTTAAAACTACATTTTAAATATGTAAAATTTTCAACTGATATTTAAATAGATCCTAAATACAGGGTATAAGCGACGTCGTAACGAATACTGAAATAGTGTATTCAGACCATCATTCTAAGTCGAATAACATTAAAATTATCTGCCGAAAAATTGAACTTTGTATGCAATCAGCTGTCAAAGGTTAAGGTCATTCCCCGTAGGTATCGCACAAAAGTAATAACCATATGTGTATTCCGTGCAAACAGTCTACGCACACTAAAACAAGTTGGCGGCCAGGTCGGAGGCCCCGCGCGCCTCGGCTGTTTGATTAATTACATTCCAGTTGTGGACTGTATGCGATATTTATTAAATTGTTTTCAGTAAAATGTTCTGTTAACTCATTGTGATATCACTATTACCCAAAAAAATTGAAAATTAAAAAAAATATGAATTTTGGTTTTTGACTATATACGAGTACATTTCTAATCTAGGTAAATAATAGGATCATAACAAATTAAATCATGAAAATCAACATCATCACTATTATCATTATCATTTTACTGGCAATAACAATTTTATTATTTTAGATGTAATAAGATTGCGAAAAATAAGAAAAATAAGGCAGAAGAAATATCGAAGGATATTTTATGCTCTTGTGAACCAATATTATTTTACGTAAACATCGACCTTTCTGTTGACATAGTGGAAAATTCCTTTGGATCTCCTGCTCTTTGGGCTGGCCTTAGACCATATCATTTCAGATCCTCTCCGAATCGGCAATCGACAAAAAATCTCGAAGCTATAAATAAAAGATGGCTGAAACTTATGGCTAAGAATCGAACTTATAGAACAGATTTGCAACCTTCAAAGTAGCACTAGTTAGTTAAAACCAATCATACCTCTGATAATAAAAGTTGTTTTTTATACATCCCAATTTGAAATCTCCCAATATATCTTATTAAACGCAATATTCCCTTATACTATCATTCCCCAAATATAAATATAGCAACACAAACAGTACTTCAGTTATTATCGTTGTGACATTTGATTATCTACACAGTGATCTATTTTCATCAGACATTTCAGTTCACATATGGTTATATTTGCACACTCGATAAGCTTTTACAGATACCGGCGTCCTTTGGGTGCTTCTGTTTATATCTAGTATTTATATAAAATTATTTGATTTTGTCTTTTTATGCTTGATGTAACTGTGGAGGAACGGGTGTCATGTCCCTCCAACACAAAGGGAGGATCCTCTGACCAGGCGAGGTGATCATGCCTGGCGGGCCGCGGCCCAACGGTTGGTGTTGGGAAGTTGTATATATGCTAATCGGCGAGGGAATTCTTCATATCGCGATACAGGATTAGCAATTCTAATTTTAGTAGTTACTCTGTAGTTCGGTGTGTCTTCATTAGATGGCGCTGTAGTATGTTTCTGTTTCTTTGTATGTGGGAGTCGCCACATCACTCCCCTCCAAGACCGGAGGTCGATATATGATGAGTCAGCTGCCTATGCTCTGTTGTGGAGCATGCCAGTGCCAGTAGTGAGTAGTTCCAGTGAGTCGGAACTGAGTGCCGCTAGTCCCAGTGAGTCGGGGCTAAAGTCCGCTGATCCCAGTGAGTCGGGATGGCGTGCGGTGCGCGGTGCTGCGGTGAAGTCCCCAGTGAGTCGGGGCGGTTGCTGCGTAGTGGCTGGCTGCTGCGTAGACGGGAGAGAAAATGCTCTTCTTACGTGGACCGTAGGTGCGGTGTGCTGTGCCTAGACGCTGATGAGGCCGTAGAGGTAACCAGGCTGGAGCGGTTGCTACCTAAGTGTGGTATCCCTGTAGAGGCCGAGGAGGCTGGCTGGCTGAGACCTGACTACTGCTCATCGCTGTGGGAGTGTACACGATGGTGCTGCTGATGATCTGCTCCTTTTGAAGGCTGCTTCCAATCACGTCGGGGTCACCACTGTGGAGGAACGGGCGTCATGTCCCTCCAACACAAAGGGAGGATCCTCTGACCAGGCGAGGTGATCATGCCTGGCGGGCCGCGGCCCAACGGTTGGTGTTGGGAAGTTGTATATATGCTAATCGGCGAGGGAATTCTTCATATCGCGATACAGGATTAGCAATTCTAATTTTAGTAGTTACTCTGTAGTTCGGTGTGTCTTCATTAGATGGCGCTGTAGTATGTTTCTGTTTCTTTGTATGTGGGAGTCGCCACATAACCACCGTGTGTGTGTGTGTGTGTGTGTTGATGATGCCTTGCAAAGAAATGTAATATCAAAAGTATTATTATAAGGCTTGAATTCTTTCGGATTGTTTAGCGAATTTTTATGATCATAATTACAACTGATGCTGTGTTCTAAAAATTCCTACGCGTTACAGTTTTTGGAGGTGGTATTGAATTACTTTTCACTAACTGCTAACCCAGGAAATTGCTTAATAGATTCGAATGCAGATTTCGTTTTCGTTATTATCCTAGAAATAGGTTTAAATTATTGATGTTTTGAACATGAAATGTATTATTCTAGTGTAGCAGAATCAGGTTATTTGATATAAAATTTCTTACGTGTTTTTCAAAAAGCTAAACTAAACTTGACAAACTTTTTATTTATATTTTTATTGTATAAAGTTAACACAAAAATTAGTTACAAATATATAGACGTAACCTCTTACAGACAACCTTAATACGGATATTGCAAATATATATACCTTAATGCGAATATTTAAAAATTTAGGTTAAAAATTTACATAGACATAACGCATTATCACGTGAATATTTAAAAATATCAACAAAATAATAATATAATAATAAAAATATTCTACCACATTCACACAACTCCATCTAGTCCCAAACTAAGCAGAGCTTGTACTATGGGTACTAGTCCACCACCACCACC